CGGGCCCCAGGGCCCCCTCGGCCTGGCCCACCGCCCCGGGGCGCCCTCCTGCCGCAGGGCGCTGGCACCTTCTGTCCCTGCTGCCTGCCCCTGGCTGGCTGGGGGCTCCTTCCTGTGGGCCTCGCCCGCAGGCTGCTTCTCAGGGGGGCGGCCCTGCCCCCCAGGCTCTCCTGGGGGCGCCCTGGCCTGGCCCTCAGTCGAAATCAGCGCCCAGGAACTAGCTCATGGATTCCGGGTCAGGGGCCGCCGGGCTGTGACTGCCCTTGGGGAGTGGGCGGGGGGGCCCAGGCCAGGCCCCAGAACCTCTGCTTTGGAATCTCTGGGTGGCCTGGGCCGCTCCTGCAGAGGTGACCCAGAGGTGCGGGCCACCGCCTGCAGTGTCAGGGAGCCCCACCTCAGGGGGGGCCTGGGACACGCCTCGGCTGACTTTGCAAAACCGAGGCCCAGCGCTGTGGGTGGCTCTGGCTTGCACCTTCCTCGCCCACAGGCCCCAGCTCAGACACCAGCTCTGGGCAGCAGCCCTGCCCCGTCAAGGGTGCGGTCGTCTCCCCCCAGGGAGACTTGGGGGCCGGCAGAAGGGGAGGCGGCTCCCTGGGGCACTGCGTTGGGACCTTTGCTTGGGGCCACTCCGGGTGCACTTAGCCTTGGCCAATGCCCTGGCACACTGCCTGGGGATCCTGGCGGGGGAGGGCCGGGGGTTCTGAGCACAGCTGCTGAGGTCTGGGCACTCGCCTCGGGGCAGGTGATGAACTGCTGGGTGGCCAGGGTGAGACACGGCAACAGGCCACGGCTGGGCCACACGCCGTGGACACGAGTTTCCCGACACTTCCGGTGCCTGGTGCTGGGGGACCCAGCTCGCCGGAGGCGGGAGCACGGGCCCCCTGGATGCCAGGGGTGCACCTTGACCCCTGTGGGCCTCCCCAGAGCCCCTCTCTGTCCGGGCGTCTTGGCAGTACCCACCTCAGAGATGGTCCTGCTGGGACAGGGGCCCAGAGACGAGCTGGCGGGCAAGCGCACCCCGCCGCGGCCCAGGGCCCCTCCTGCGGCACCATCTCTGCCCCACCCCCACCCCCAGCCAAGGGCCCACTGTTGTCTGGACTGGGGCCTGGACACTGGGTTTCCTTCTGTTTCCTGCTCGTGACGCTGCCGGAGGGGGCGGGGAGACTTGGGGATAGTCAGGGCCAGCAGAGGGAGCCGAGCCTGGCCGGGCACACCCCACAGGTGAAGCTTCCCCACAGGCGCTGGCCGGCCTCAGGGCACGCAGGCGGCCCTGCGCTGGGCCACACCCCGTGGCCCCGTCAGGGCAGGAGTGGCTGCGGAGCCGAGCGCCCTGGAGGGGGCCTCACACTCGTCTCTGGGATCCGACGCGCACTTGCTGCGGTCCGGCCTGAGGCAGGGCGGGTGGGCGGGCGACGTGCACTTAACCACGGCGGGGCCGGGCATCTGCTGGCCCCCCTTGCGTGGATGAGGACAGCCAGGTGGGGGGCCCTTCAGCACCCGCCCACGGCTCTGGGGCTGGCACTGACGCGAGGCCACGGGCCTGACCTCCTGGTGCCCCCGGGGAGGAAGCCGCTGAACGGGGCACCCCAAGAGGTGGGGCGGCTGCCGGCCTGCCACAGAGGTCACAGGCAGTGCCGGGCTGAGCAGCAGGAAGCCCCAGAACTCTGGAAACCACACGCTTATCTGCTCCCCACAAAGCTGAAACGTGGCAGCCCTCACGAGCCACGAAGGGAGTGCTCCCCCGCTCGCTTCCCCAAGCAGTGCTCCAGCCGTGCTCCCCCTGGCCTGGCTCCCACTTCAGGCTCGGCCGAGGCCAGCGGGGAGGCCAGGCCCGCACGGCACGAGCGGAGTCAGCTGCGGCCCGACTCTCAGAGAAGCAATGAAGTCACTGTGTTCTGGGGGCTCCGTGAGGGTCAGCCCCGGGGTGGGGGCGGCCAGGCTCCCGGGCCTGCATTCCGGGCTGCGCGACCTGACCAGGCCCTGGCCGGCCCCGAGGCCCGGCAGCTCCGGCCGCCTCCCAGCGGCTCCTGTGTCACGGGGCGTGGCAGGGCTGGGCTGCCCCTGCAGCTGATGGTGCCAGCCGAGCGCCAGCCCTGGCGGGCCCCTGCCAAGCGCAGCGGTGACCTCAGAGCAGCAGCCCCGAGCTCGCGGGGCGGGCTCCGTGGCAGCCTCCCTGACCTCCCGGCCACCCCGTGGGGCCACGGCTCTCTCAGGCCTCATCTGCCAAAGAGGTGCGGGTGCCCTGCCGGGCACTGAGCGGGCCCAGCTCCGGCCTGCCCCGCCCCGGCCAGCCAGCACTCCCAGGCTCCGCTGGGGACGCCGCAGGCTCGCCCCTGCTGCGGGACAGACGGCCACGCGTGGCGGATCAGGCACTGCACTTGTGTCACCGCGGCCTGCGGCCCGAGGTGGCCTGTTGCCGGGCTGCCGCTCAGCGTCCAGCCCCCCGTGGGCCAGGCACGGGGGCTGCTCTCGTCTGGAGGCTCAGACGGGAAAGCCCACTCCGCCCTGGAGCCGGCGGGGCGAGCCCTGCCCGCTGGCTGTCCGCTCCCCAACAGCCACAGAGCCACGCCCAGGGTGGCCGCCCGGCCTCAGACCTGCTCCCGCTCCCAGCCTCAGCTGCGGAAGGCCCCGCTGCCTTGACCTCACCTGGTCAGGTCGGACCCACTCAGGGTCACCCCCAAGTCCACGCCTCTGTCGCTGGCTTTTGGGGTGCTGGTCCAGCACACTCCAGGGAGGGGGAAGGGCGCGTGCCCGCTCCAGGGGCGGGAGTGCCCTCCCGCAGGGGCAGGGCCTCCGTGCTTGGAGGGAGGCAGCGGGCCCCACACCACCTCGCCACAAGGCGGTGAGCAGCCTGGCTCTCGCCGGCTCAGGGCTTCTCCACGCTGGGCCCTGGGCGTGGCCGCGGCACCTGTGTGCCCTGCGGCCGGGTGCCGGCCCTGCCCAGGGGTCCCCAGACACTGACCCTGACTCAGCTGTCCCGGGGAAACCTTTTTTTTAAAGGTGTATTTATTTCGTATGCAAGGGCTGGGGTGCAGGCCAGAGGTGGGGTGTGTGCGAGGACATTCCCCAGGCAGACCGACTGGAGTCCACTGCTGAGGGGACTGCGGGGCGACGGGAGCGGTCTGCTGCGCCCTGGGGGTCCCTCCCTGGCCGGGGTCGAGCTCGTGCTGGGGGGCTGCCGAGCCGATAGCCTCAGGGCTCGACCCCTGCGCCACCAGGGAGGCCCCATCACAGAAGTTGTTGCGGGGATCAGGGGTCGATTTGGCCGTGTTCCCCAACCAGCTGCCGGGCCTGGAGGGCGGCATATGCTGATTGGCCAGGGCCTGGTCACGTGTCCACCACGCCTGGCGCGGGGACCCCCTACCCCAGCCACAAGGATCTCATCGGGCAGGGGCCCTGTAAGAAAATCCCAAGTGCAGCTTCCAGAAGATACGGGAAGGTGTATGGGACCGGGGGAGGGGGCGGGTGCCAAAAAAGGAAAATCTGGGGTGATGTAACACCTCCCCCCGACCCTGCTGGGGCCCTACAGTGACTGTGTGGCGGGGTGGGGTCAGTGAGCCCTTCTGGAGGTGCCTGGGAGGAGTAAGGGGGTACAGTATTCCTGTGGGAGAGGGGACTCCCCAAACTGGAAGACCCGGCCTCTCGGGGCGGGGGACACAGAGCCATCTCCCTGGGCACCTGCAGTCTCTGGGCTCCCGGCCGGGGCCACGTCCGGCCCCCCCCGGGCCGGGGCGCTTGGCGACAGAGAGGCCCGCACAGAGCACCCCGGCAGCCGCAGGGCCCGGCACCCGCCTGCAGCGTGCGGGACCCAGGGCCAAATGAGGACGCAGGTCAAAGCTACCAAGACCTGGGGGCGGGCGTCGAGCCCCGACAGCCGCGCGTGGCCTCCTCCCGTGGCCCTGTGGCCCGGCTCGCCCCTGCGCTGGGGTGCAGTGGAGGAGCACAGCCTGTGCGGGGGGGAGGTGGGCTGGGGCCGGGACGAGGAGCCTGGGTGCCGGCCTGCCGCTGCCTTGGGTCAGCTGGGGCCTTGTGCACCCCCGGC